TCTCTCTCTCACTGTCCACTCTGCCTGTCAAAAAAAAAGTCATATTTAAGAATTCTTCCATGCTCTAAGATTACAAAGAATTAAGCCACCTCCCATTACAATCCTATCCTTGTCACAGTCTGATGTTTCCTCCTCCATCCCTACTGACTTTGTCTCTGAAGCACTTACAATTTTCTAACACACTTTGTAATTTATTTGTCTTTCTCGGTAGGTTCTATGTGTGTTTCCTAATAACAGTGTATCTGTATGTTATTTTCATTGATGTATCCCTAATACCTAGAAATGTGATTGGTTTAACAAATGTTCGTAATTAACAAGTGTCTTTTGGAAAACTTTCTAATCTTTCCCTTATATACTTAGATCTTTAAATTTCTGGGAATTAATTTTTTGTGTATGGAATAGAATTTACTTTCATGTTTTCCAAATGGATAATAAATTGTCCAAACATCATTTGTTCAAGAACAACAAAATTCAAAAATGCATGGCACTTCTTTATATATACATATTTTATGAATTATATTTTTATGAATTATATTCACAAGAATATAAGTTCCAAGAAACCAAGGACTCTCCTTTGTTATCTGCCCTACAGTCAGTGCTCACAAATATGCTTAACAAAATGGAATATTATACAAAAAATAAGAACAAAAATAATCTATAGCTACATATATCAACACAAATATGACAAATATAATATTGGGTAAAAGTTAAATGTTGAAGAGGACCTAACATGTGATTCCAATTCCATATAAGGTATAAAAGATGTAGTGACTAACAGGAAACAATTGGAAAGCTTCTGGTTTGCTGATAATGTTTTTATTCCTTATCTGGTTATGAATTAATTCAATAAAAAAATTTGAAGGTATGCTAAATATTTATTGTAAACTTCTACTCCATTCCATCGCTTTGTCCATAGGCATTACTACCTACACCAGAATGCATTAATTACTAAACTTTGAGTCTTCACATCCAAGAGCAGAGTCTGAGTTTTCCGTCTTGTTATTATTTATCAAATTTATATTAGCCAAAGTAATCAAGCATATATTATGCTTTTTCTATACAAACTATATGACAGATAATTAAATAATAAAGACATTTTTCTTCTTATATAAGCATTCTTGCTAATTATGGAGAATAATTATGATTACAGCATTAGAGTATCACTGTTTTGCAATCTGTAATATATTAATGTATCTAGACATGATCACGAATCACCAATTGCTGCTAGTATTTCAAAGGGAGAAGCAAAGAGACATTATGGCATTCTGAATAGAATGGCACATAGGAAGTAGCCTTGCTTAAAGAGAGACCATAGAAGGAAGGAAGGAAGGAGGGTAGGAGGGAGGGAGGGAAGGAAGGAAGAAGGAGGGAAGGAAGGAAAGCATGCAAGCAAGAAAGGGAATGGAGAGGAAAAGAGAATAAAAGAAAACAAAGAAGGAAGAAATTGTACCTGAATATTACTAAGTATTTATATACACTATCAATCTTCAGGAAATGTAGAGGGTAAAAAATGTTAAACTACACCATAGGATACAATTAGCGATGTCCACACTGTGAGAAACTGTTAGAAGCCTTTTTTCTTCAATAAATAAATTACAAGAAGGATAAACTGTTGGCTTATTCCTCCTAATTGCAATGCAGGGTCTTATTTGCATCCTAAAAATGTAAAACAATTATTATATTTATGAAACAATTGTGAATTTTATCACAGAGTTTATGTGACATTACTAAGGTACTTGGGCCTGATGATATAATAGTGGCTAGTTATGATTTTTTTTAGATTTATTTTACTTATTTGAAAGAATTGCAGAAAGAGGGAGAGACATAGAGCGAGATCTTCCATCCACTCGTTCACTCCCAGAATGGCCAGAACTGCTGGAGCAGAGCTGATGTGAAGTCAGGAGCGAGGAGCTTCCTTTGGGTCTCCTATGTGGGTGTAGGGGTCCAAAAAGTTGGATCATCTTCTGCTTTCTCAGGTTCATTAGCAGGGAGCTGGATTGGAAGAGGAGCAGCCAAGTCTCGAACCAGCACCCATATGGGATGCCCGCACTGCAGGCAGGGTCTTCAACCCCCTGCACCACAGTGTCAGTCCCTAGTTGTGATTTTTAGAAAGGATAAGGTAGTTCTTAACCCCTAGAGATGAAGAATATAATTCAATGAAATAAAAAAAAATTGCATTGACTAGTATCAGTCATGTAAATTTTAAAACAGGCTTAGAAAATTATATACATGTACACAATTCTATTTGGATTTTATTAAAATTGTACTGAATGTAAAGATTAATTTTGGAAAAAAAGATTTCTTTATATTTACTTTCCCTATCCTGTTTTGTAGAGCAACTATCCCTCTACTTATTCTCCTTTACTCAAATAATTTTATCTTGTTCTAATCTATCCTTTCAGGTTAAGTTTATAATAAATATTTCTAACCTCAAATCAGAGTTGAAATTTTATTCTATTTATTAATACTTATTAATTTGGGGGAATTAATAAGATATAAACTTCTTCAAAAACATGAGTTTTTATGTTTTATTATTGTGAGGATAAGAAGATAGCACCCCAGTTGACACGTGGGAAGAGGTCAAGAAAACTATTAGTCATGAACTATTAGATACTTTATTATGTTGAATATTACCCATCTCTTGTATTGCTTCAACATATTTATCACAAAGGAGACTGTTGATTGTTTACTAAATGACTTTTTTAGCATTTATGCAGTTACCCTAAACTATTAATTATGTGCTTGGATGAACAAATGACACTGTAGTTACCTGTATTGGAATGTTCAAAAAAACTCAAATTTTTGCATCCTCAATGGCTCTTGTTAAATTTAGGTGTTGTACATCTGCAAATTTTGATATTATACTATACTAAGACTGCAATGAAGGAGATCAGAGTGAAAGGAGAGGAAGTCTGCTGATCATGGATTGCCAGATGAAAATACAGGACAAACAATTAAATTTGACTTACAGATAAGCAAATAATTCTGTAGTCTGTGTATATCCCAAATACTACACAGGTTATTCTTATGCTATAAAATTTTTATTTTTCACCTGAAAATTAAATTTAACTCTGTGTCATATATTTTTGTCTCTTAAATATTCTTATAAGAATGTTTCAGTTAAAGGCATTACAGATGGATAGAAATGAAAGACTTTAAGAAATAGTGATTCTACTGTTGACTTTTTGGACCATTATTCACTAACTCCTTCTAAACAGAGACCGCTGTTACACCTGACTCTTCTCTAAAAAGAAAAGAATTAGAGCCTTCGCTTTGCTTTAATTTCAGTGCTAAACTGTAATGTCCCCAAGGCAGAAGCAGTTATTTTATCATTGTCTTTTCTCAATCTTGAGTTACCGTAGAGCCTTGCATTGAGAGTAATCTTTATAGAAATCAAAGTGCCAGTTAGTAGTTATAAGAAACAGTGCCAATAACAGCATCAAAAACCACAAGAGCCTCTTATAGACTGCTTTTCATACATCCATGTAGAGTTCTCACATTTTAAATTTTATATAATGTGTTTGTCTTATTAAAAATGGAAACAAAGAGAAAGCACTTCTGTCCATTAATCTCCTCCAGGTGCTTCATCCTCTTCTTTTTCTTTCCCAGCTGGTCTTGTATGTTTTGGGTTTTTTTTTTTTTTTTTAAACCTTCCAGGTCTTGCGTCTTTATCTGTTCCTTGAAACAAAATCAACAATAAAAAAGAAAAAGCCATTAAACCAATGAAAGCAATGCTATGGTTGCTGATTTAAGTAGCACTTCAACTGAATTGAAGCTGTTCTCTTAAATTAAGAAGACTATTGGTTTAGCTGAGGGTCTTATTATCTCTTCTCCAATTGTTGGCAGGTCACAAGTTTGAATTCCAGTCAACCATATAAAGCTACACTTTGACCTTGTATGGCCAATGAACTGTCATTGGGACTAAAATAATTCCATACTCTATCCATTTATCTAACTCAGATAGAAGCTACTAACACAGTGGATGATAATAACGTCTATTAAAAAACAAGTTAGTCTTCCACGTATAAAAACTTTTCCCAGGAATTCTGAAAGAGTATTCTTGCACTGTCAGACCCATGTTTGAGTTCCAAATTTTCACTCATTTGCTCTGTGACCACAGGTAGTTTATTTGACATTGATAAACTTCTGTTTCTTTCTTTATAATAGAGAAAATAATACTTAGCTTTCCAAGCATTATTTGTTGCTGTTAAGAATTTAGAAAAGGCCAGCCTATGTAATTTTTTATGTACAATTACTGGCAGGAATATAAAATAATACAATCACTTCAGTAACCATTTCAAAAGTTACTTACAGCCACCATATTACCTGGTCTTTCCATTCCTAAGTATTTACCCATGAGAATAAAAGAATATATCTATACTAAGACCTGTTCACATTCAGAGCAGCTTTGTTGGTAATAGATAAGATATGGAAACAACCCAAATGTCCATTAGTGGGTGAACTGATGAACAATTTGTGATATATTAATGCATTGTACTACTACTCAGCAATAAAATAGAATTTAATGATACATGCAACAACATGATGAATCTCAAGATAATTATGTTGACTACAAAAAATGAGAATCATGCTGTATGGTTCCATTTATACAAGATTCTGGGAAATGCACACTAATGTATAACAACAAAAAGCACATTAGTGCTTCCCTGAGCTTGGGAGTAGTAGGAAGAAACAAATAGAGGAGGCCTAGGTAAATTTAGGGGTGAGTGATGCAATTGTACAAGGGAGCACCAAAAATTTTATGGGAAATGGAATGTAAAATATATATTTTGGTGCAAAAAAATGAAACATGCATAGTTTTCTCACAATTCACATTTTCTAAGAAGTTTTGGAAGACCTCCTCATATATAACCTGATATAGTGATAGTTTCACAGGTATACCCACATCAAGATCATCAAAATACAATCTCAGAGCCAGCATTGTGGTGTAGCAGGTTAAGCCACTGGTTTAATTCCCTGTTATTCCATTTTTGATCCAGCTCCCTGCTGATGGCTTGGGAAAGAAAAGGAGGATGGCCCAAGTTCTTGGGCCCCGCACCCATGTGGGAGACTCAGAAGACGCTCTGGCTTTAGCCTGGCCCTGCTCTGGCCTTTGTGGTCATTTGTGAAGTGAACCAGCGATGAAAGACCTCTCTTTCTCTCTCTCTCTCTCTCTCTCTCCCCTCTACCCTCACCTCACTCACTCATTCTTTCAAATAAAAAAAAAATCATGAATCAAATACGTTCTCTAGAATGCTCATCTTAATGTATTTCAATAAAGTTGAAAGTAAAAAATGCAAATGAAGGGGATATTATTATTACTAATTAACTCAAAAGTAATATCCGAAAGTAAAACTATTCTTTTATTTGTCTATGAAAAATCAGGATGTTAATTCCTGTATATATTTTGTGTAGGATTTTCTTTGTCTCTGTTCTATTTTCCCCCTCCCAAAAAACTTATTAGTATCAATTTTTATTTAAAGTTTTTCAAATATGTCTAATTTATTATTATAATTCTTTGTAAAAACTAAAATTCATATTACATGTACATATATGTAGACATTCCACTTTAATATACTAATATTAATCTCATATTTGTTACCTGTATTTCTTCATATGTTTTCTTTTCCATCATAAAAGAATTACATTATACTCTATTAGAATTGAATATCTTGCTACCTGGCCTACTGCTGATATTCAGAAATCTTTCACAAACTGTGGTGAAACCTAAATCACCTCTTCTAGTTTACCCAACATCCTTGCTCTCCCTCTTTATACACAAAATAGCTTTTGCCAATAATTTTTAACTCCTGATCTTTGACCTCTAACAATACCATGAAGACTGTGACTTCTTCCTCCTGCCTCATAAATGGTGAGCAGAATGGCTCACTATCTCCATTTGCCTTTCTCAACAGCAAAAATTGCCAAGGAACATGACAGATGATATGTGGTGGATCACACCGACAAATAACATGGAATGCCTAACTCTCTTAAAGAAACTTGCTTAAGAGATGCTAAGAGTAAGTTATTATGCTTAAGGGAAAAAACAGTTGAATTATGGAAGGAAGAAAAGTAAAGAAGTAGCAATAAACAAAAGGGAATGTGGCCACATTCTATCAGTTCTGAAGGTACTAATAAGCCTGGTACATGAATTACTTTATGAAATCCTATCTTTCAACAGGATTGTGTTCCTAACTGCTAACCCTTCCTGCTCTCCCATGCTCACCCAATGTGTATACAACAGTAAGAGAAATAAAGAAACGCTTGTATATCAGCTTGAACCCTTTCAATGGCTCTGCATTACTTCCATCCAGGGCCTCTGTGTCCTCACATGTTCTTTTCCTGCTGCCTTCTCCACCCTTACTTTGCACTGACTCTTCCCCTCTTTCACCATGCTCTAAGAACCATTACTGTATTTAAACCGTGCCATGTTTCCCTCTCCGCCTAATAATATTTATCCATAGAGTTCTCCACACACCCCCAATTCTTCTGTGGCCAATTCTAGATAATCCTTCAGGTCTTAGTTTATTGGTATTGCCATGGGGCCTTTGTAAAGTGCCAACATAAATACTCTTTGGAAAATTGTAAAATGTACTTCTCACTTCTGGCATTTGCATATTTTTTAAATTGCATGGGTTTGTATAGTTATTTGTTCACTCTCTTTTACCATATCCATCATATGAAGAATTTATGGTTAATCTTTGTTAGTTTGAATCTTGCTTTTTTCTATTTTTAAAATTTTGTATTCTCCATTATATTCATACCCTTTAGTACAGTGGTGACTGGCACATAGTGGATGCTAAAAAAGTATTTAAGGGGTGAATACATTAATGAGGAGGAGGAAAATAATGCTGAGAAATAAACTCTTACTCAGAGACCTTAAATTTCCAAATTCATCCTTCATTATTCATAGAAGAGGAGAAAACAACAACAACAAGAGTGGTAAAATCAAGGAAAGAACTAGATACTAAGTCCATGCCATTAAATAAGCTTCATTATGTATATAGGTACACAGAAAATATATTTAGCTACATTTTACATTTAAAATCTGAGTACCTGGTTAGAGTCAATACTGCTCGTATTAAATTAATAATCCTAGACCTTTAGTTTCCTGATCCTTGTTGCATTGCTACTGTGCCCCTGGTCATACCTGTTAAGCATACCTGTGATCTCAGCAATAACTATGGTGGACAGTTCTATGCACACTGTCAATCTCCTGACTCAGATTTTTCCTTCAAGTCTATTCCCCAAGACAAGAATCTTACCCAGTCCTGGTGCTGGTTTAGTCTACAAATGATGGGGAGTTATTACCACTGGGGCCTCTATCAAACAATGGGTGATAGAGTCAGTGGATAAATGCCCATATCTTCTGGGGACAATTTGGAGACATTTTCTTCACTGCCTTTATAAAGTTGCCAGAGACCTCAGAATCAGCCCTTAAGGCATTTGGATCTGGCTAAAAAGCCCATGAGAGTTTCACAGGCATGGAAAACCAAGACACTGTGGCAGAAAATGACATAAATGAAAGATCTCTGTGAGTGAGATCCAGGTGAAAATAAGGGCCCATCAAAGAAGGAGGTACCTTTCTCTGAAGGGAAGAGAGAACTTCCACTTTGATTATGGCCTTGTCTAAATAAGATCAAAGTTTGTGAACTCAAGAGGCTTCCATAGCCTTGGCAGCTCATGACAAGAGCCTGGGGTGATTACTGACGTCAAAGATAAGAGTGTCAATTGTTAAATCAACAACAGGAATCATTGTGCACTTGTTCCCCATGTAGGACCTCTGTCCTTAATGTGTTGGACTATGACAATTAACGGTAAAACCAATCTTCAAACAGTACTTTTTACTTCGTGTGTCTGTGTGGGTGCAAACTGTTTATTAAATCTTTACTCAGTATAGAGTTGATCTTCTGTATATAAAGATAATTAAAAATGAATTTTAATGGCGAATGGGATGGGAGAGGGAGCAGAAGATGGGATGGTTTGTGGATGGGCGGGTGGTTATGGGGGGAAGAACCACTATAATGCAAAAGTTGTACTTTTGAAATTTATATTTATTAAATAAAACTTTTCTATAAAAAAAAATAAAGTCGCCAGAGGTTCTAACCCCACCATCCTCAGTGATGAAACCTCAATATCCATTCCTCCCTTTGTTGTCTTATTGCCCATGCTTGCTTCTCAAATTCACTTCTCTTATTAACTACCTGTACCCTAGTCCTTGATTTAGGCTCTGCTTTTGGGGAAATCAGAATTAGGACATCATAATTTATTCATTTATTTAAGTATTTAGTGTGGTCAAAACTGGATCAGGGAGCAAAAATTAAATAGAATGCTGTTATCCTTCAGAAATTCACATCTTAATGGAGATATAGAGAAATATGAAAATAATTAATTCTAAAATAACCTTTGTGGAAAATAAAATATGGAACTACTGTTTTGGAGAGAATCAAGGAGAATTGAAAATATCACAAAGATGATTTTTGAGAGGTCTTTTGAAGGTAGAATAGAAGTTTATCAATAAAATAAAGGCATAGAAAAAAGCCATAAGGGATAGCAGGTTCAAAAACACACGTTGAGTCAAAGAGAGGCATATGTTAAAAAAATAATGAAACAATTTGTTTAGCTACTAGGGTTGGAATTGTCAGAGGACAGTGATGCAGGCAGCAAAGTGACAAATGCCAGGATGAAGGTTTCAAGGGTAATTCCAAGTTTTTTCCTATAACAATGAGTCAGCATCAGAAGTTTTTAAACAGGGCAGTTACAGAATCAAATCTGAGTTATAAAAAGATATTCCTGGTAGCCATGAAGAGAAGTATTGAATTGGAATTGGAAAAAAACAAACCAAAAAAACAACAACAAAAAAAAAACTGGAGACAGAAAACAGTATAAAGATCATACCAGTGAGAATGGAGAAGAGAATTCATAAGATAGAGTACAGCAAAACTGAATGTTGAATGTCTTAGGCATTCCAAATCTATGCAGGGTTGTCTGTTTTTAGATAGGCACCCCCATCCCTCCACAGTTATCTAATATTTGCTCCTATATGCTTAACCTACTTGGATGAACTTATCAGTTCCCATTCATTAAGTCAGTGGTACCATTTGAGATGAAAATTTTGCACGTAAGAAGTTTATTGGGACCACTGTGGTTGAGTGAGAGGAGTAGGGTTGAGTAGAGGGAAGATTTGTAGTGCGATATACTCACACAGGGAGAGCTCAAGAGCCAAGATGGTCTTTCTGAGTTGTCCTCTTCTGGTGCAAGGGGGCAGGGCGTATAGGCCTGTCACCATAGTTCAGTCTCTGGATGTGGGCTGCCTCGAGAAGTGACCTTGGTCATAGAGGCTAATGGCTGCTCAGAACAACCCCTAGAATGGGACTCAACTGAATGCATCAGCTTCCAACACTCCTGAACTTTGCGGAATTAATGCCAAGTCCTGAAAGGGTGTGTGTGTGTAGAAGGAAGAGGAATGTCAATGGCACACCTTAGAGTTCCCTGTGAGTCATATAATCTTTTCATGTTGAGATCCTGGTAAGTTTCAACAAGACAAGTCCTTATTGTTATTATTATCTGTTTATTTGAAGACTTGTTTACTCCCCAATTGCACCAAAACAGCCAAGGATAGACCAGGCTGAAACTAGGAGCTGGAAATTCAATCCGGGTCTCCCATGTGGGTGACAGGGACTCAAGTATTTGAGCCATCACCCACTGCCTCCAAGACTGTGCATTAGCAGGAAACTAGAATTGCAAGGAGATTCAGGACTATGTGATATAGGATGTAGATGTCCCAAGCAGTATTTTAATCACTGAATCAACTACATCAACAAGGCCTGCTCTAATATGGGACACCCCAAGCTTGGTACCACTAGCGTGTATCCAACATTTCAAAACAAAAAGCAAAATAAAGTCCTCCTTTAGGAGATTGTTTTGTTGTTGTTATTTAGGAGATGAACTGAATATGGGATTACTAGAATATGTGAATTCTGTTTTCCATGGAATATGTTGCCAAAGAATTAGGAAAAAGCATCTAAAATTGTATAGGGAATGGCATTAAGAAGCTCCCTTGACAGAAATTGCCCCTTGTTTTAAGTTACTGCCAAACAGTGCCCAGCTCAGGTACTGAAAAGACAAGTTTTAAAATGTCACTAAGTCTACTGCAATGGCCAATAGGCACCCATAGTCAGCAGCTGCCTCACCATAAGTAAATAACCAGAACAGAGTGTTTTTCTCTCACTCTGGTGACTGAGAAACAGCACTGTAAGACAATATAATGCAGCATGGGCACTAACCACCCTCCACCACCTCA